CTCCCGGCTGAAGGAGTCTCAGGATGGCTGGTGTGGAGGGGAGAGGGGGGTGGTGGAGGAAGAGCACCCTCCTGGGCCCCTTGGGCTTGCGGGGTGGCAAGAGGCTCTCAGCTGTTCATCGTATTGCTTCAAGGTCCAGGATTTTCCCCTGAAAGACTGTTGTGGTGGGTAAAATGGGAGTGTGTGACCATACGTGGTTTGGGTGTCGAGTCCAGAGTGTGGCTTGGCTCTTAACCCAGGTGGGTTTGTTGCAAACAGGTGGTCCCACCCAGCTCTTCCCCGGGTCCCGTTAGGTGCTGGGGATGTGCAACAGCCATGTGATGGGAGGAGGAGGAGGAGCGGAGCAGCCTGCAGTGCAGGGATAGCCCTGGGTGTTTGGGGGAGGTGGCGGAGGAGAAGGGGGATGAGTGATCACCCAGCGGGGTGCAATCCTCCCCTTTCCCTCTGCCCCCTCGTCAGCATCCCTTCTCTTACACGCCTGGGGGTGGGTCAGCCACAACAGCCCCTCTCCCTGCCCCGCGTGTGCTGGAGCACTGTCTGCCCTGTGCGTCCCCGAGGTGGGCTCGTGCGTCCGGCTGCATCGGAGGTGACGGTGCTGGGGGTTTGGTATCTGTTGTGCTGTGCGAGAGGTGGAGGAACCAGGGCCGGGAGGAGGGCGGTTGGTGGCCGCGGGGCCCCTGCCTCGCCGAGCGCCCGCGCAGACAAAGGCACGTTACGAAATCCCCGTGTGGCTCCTGTCCTGGCCTCCCCCCGCACAAAACAAACCCCGCTGTTAACAAAAGCGGCGGCCACCCAGTGCAGGAGCTGTTTATCTCGCACAGGGAAGAGCCGTGGACCCGTCCCCGAGGCCCTGGCAGCCTCCGGAGCGCTTTGGGCATCGTGCCTGGTGCGGGTTCGCCGTGCAGGAGCGTGACGCCAACCCCTCAGACTGGCACTCGGGTGCCTCCGAGTTTCGCGTCGTGGGGCTGCCGGGGGGAGGCTCCACTCCTGAGCCCCGCAGGGATCCCCCGGCGAAGGCAGAGCTGCCGCCTGCCCCATCTCAGGGAGGTGTTTGCTGTGCCCTGGTGTTGACAAAGCCCATGACGAGGGTGAAAGTCTGTTAAATAAACAGCTGAGGGAAGGACAGAATGATGCAAAATGTGCTGTCGTCACTGAGCTTCGAGGGCATGTAAATGAAACCTTCCCCGGGCTTGGCACCGGGGGATGAAATGCGTCCCGAGGCCGCACCGCTTCCAGTGCCAGGGGGGAATGGTGCTTCGGGAGCGGTTGGCCTTGATGCACCTGTGTGTTTTGATTTGATTTTTTTGCCGCCTTCTTCAAAAAAAAAAAAATTATATATATAAATAATATTAATTACACCGCTCTAAGGTCTGTGTTGAAAGGCAGCAGGCAGGATCCCTGCGTAGGGAGGGGGTGGCAGCTGGTCTGTCCCATGGGGGGGTCCTGCCCATGGGCCAAGCCCTCAGAAACTTTATTTTTGTGCAGAGTACGAGCCTGGGAGCTGCTGGCGAGTGGTGGGTGTTTGGGGGGTTCTGGCAGGGCTCTGGGGCTCCTCGGCTTGCAGGGGTGGGCCTGGGCAGCCTGAGCCTCTTCCCTAAATCGCTTACACCTTGAAAGTCGGGAATGGGTGGGCATGGCTGAAAATAAAAGCAATGCTGGGATGTAGGTGTGGGGAATCCCCCCCCAAAGCTGTCTGTGGGGTCGGAGGTTGGGCAGGGCTGTTGGAGCGAGGGACCCAAAAAGATGCTTTGGGCGCCCGATGCTGCCCGTGGGCTGCGTGGCAGAGGCTGAGCCCGTCCGTCTGTCCGGCGCGAGGGCTGGCGGAGGTGTCACCGGGCCCTGCCGGCGCCGCCAGAAGGGGTTTGTTGAAGCTGTGCCTGCGGGAGGGAGGTGCAAAGGACAGAGGTCGGCGCAGAGTTAATGGTTTACCTTAGTGTTTACTTCTGTATTAATCATGCCTGCGAACGTCAACCCCTTCCTATCCTAAAAGCACGTCCGCGGGCTTTTCCGAGCTTGGCAGCTCCGGTGGGAAATCTGCCGAGGGCCGGGGCTCGGGAGGAGGAGCAGCCCCCGGCTAAAGGGGTTTGTGGAGCGGATCCGCTGGCCACAGCCTTGTCTCGCGTGAAGACGTCTGCCCCGCCGGGGTTTCTTATTTCCCTTTCGCTTTGTATCGTTTGGCGGCTGCAGCGTGCCCTTGGCGTGGGGGGATGTGGTGGTTTGGGATGCAGAGAGGGGTCCCTGAGCATCCCCCCCTCCCCACCCAGACCCCCCAGCCCAGCGTCGTGCTGGGAAACCACATCTCGGATGCCCAGAGGAAGGGACGGGCTGGGTTGGGGTGTTTTGGCCGTGACAAACTCCTTCCTCCCCGCTGGATTCGCCAGGGGGTCCTGGCCAGGGGGGCGGTTCTGTTGCTCTCTGGGACCCCCCAGGGTGTCCCACTGTGTGGCCAGACACGGGGCCTGGCTAACCGTGGCCAACGCCTGGGCCAAGGTCTGGGCTCCTGACGCCAGCCCTGGTGCCACTGGGAGAGACAAGCATCAGGTGGGTCACCAGAGCCCAGTGCTGCTTCTGATGTCCAGGGAGAGGAGGATGATTCCAAGAGAAAAACTTGCGACTGCATGTGGGTCCCTAAGCTTCTTTTTCTCGACTAAGTGAGGCTGAAACTATTTATTTCTCTTAATTAAGCGCCAGCTCCAGGCTGCTGCGGGTGCCGTGAGTCAGCGGGGATGCTTCATGCTGCTGCCTTGCTGCCATTTACCTGCTTTGACTCTCCCCATGAGTTTCGCAGCCCCCTCCCGCCCACTGTCTCCCCATCCCCTCCCTACGCCCTCATCCCCGATGTCCCCAACCCGCTGGTGGCCCTTGGCATCCAGGGCGTTGCTCCTGGGTACCTGCTTCGGCCCTTCATCTCCTTGAAATCAACATGCCAAGAAGATTTTTGCTGCTGGGAAATGGGCTCTGCAGAGCAGGGCTGGCTGGGGGGGCAGCCCCCCAGTTGCACAGGGGGGTGCACACAGGCCCCTGGCAGGTGGCTCTTGTTTAAGCCCAGGCCTCTCTTCTGCTCTTCGCCTTTGTGTGCCTGGCGAGGCTTTTGTTGGAGCCTGAAAAGGCTGAATAGCTGCCGCATCTGTCACGGGGGGCGCAGAAATGCTCAGCAGATGCCCTGGGGATGGAGGGGGGGGAGCGGGGTGTGGTGCTGCGGGGCGGGTGGTCCCCAACATCCCCTGGTGGGCACAAGACCCCCGTGGGAGCTGCGGGCAGGGGAGCTGGCAGCACACGGGGCGCAGAGGGTTGTGCAAGTGTTGCGGGCGAGCGAGGCCCCGCCGCGGCGGGTCTCCTTGTGAAAGCGCCGGGCAACAGCAGCCTCTTCCCTCGCCCCGTTTCCATCCTCCGCCCCGTTGCAAAATCGCCCGCAGGAGCTGGGACAAGGCTGCCCCCTCCGACATCTGCCTCCGCCGCTTCCAGAGGGCTTTTCAGCTGGCCCGTGGCACGCAGCCTCGCCGTTGCTTGCCCACACGAGGTTGCTTTCCCCGCGCCCATCACGGTGGCTCCGGGTCTTCCTCCGAGCGCTCTGATCGTTCAGACTTGGAGAATGCGGCCGAGCAGCTCGAGCGTGTGTGTCAGTTTGTGTTTGCTTGGCCTGAACTGCGTCTCCAAGCTCGCTTCCCCGCTTGTAGCTCTCTAATCTGAATAATTCTCTCTCGCCGGGACGCTTTTTCCAACTTCTCCATCTTCCCTGAGGCAAGCGAATGCGGAGGATGACCTTTTGTTCACGGTAGCGGGGAATGAAGAACATTAATGCATCAAGCTGGCCACGCTCAGCTCCTCCGCCAGACGCAGCATCTCTCCTCTCCTCCCCAGCTTTCCCTGGGCAAAACAAACGTGAGGATGAGGCTTTTGCCTGGTCTGTTAAGGCTTCAAGCTCTTGAGGCAGGGACTGTCCGCGTCCCCGTGGTCATGGGCAGAGCAGGAACGATCCCCAGCTGGGGAAGGTGCCATCGCCTCTGCGCGCTGCCGGCCGTGGTGGATGTAAGCAGCAGGGATGGGGTTCGTGTAAAGGTTTATAGATACGGGGGAGGTTTCCTGAGCTGCGTGTTTAATTGTTACTGCATTATGGTCAAACCATTAATTTCCCTGCGTTTGGTAACGTAAATCCTCTCACAGGCTTTGGGAGTCGTGATTTTATTTCTCTTGTCTCATTCATAAATGGTAAAAGCGGAACGAAGCTTTGCTGTTCCCGTGCCCTTCTGCTGCTTTCTCCCCCCCGAACCGCTCGTCTGGAGTGGCTTTGGGGTGATTACCTGTGGGCTCCCCGAATGTGCCGGCTTGAAAAGCACAAAAAAAGACACATGGGGGGATGATCAGCTTAACCCAGGTCCCCCAGCACTGTGCCTCGTCGCGGGGGGCGATGGGGCTTTGCCTTCGCGGGGCCGCGGAGTGGGAACAGCATGTGCAAAGGATCCAGCACCAGCTCTGCAAACGTGTTAAGCAGCTGACGCCAGTTGGCAACCAGGTCGCGTGGAAAGATTCGAAGAGGCAAATCCCTTGAAGAGCAACCTTTTTGCTTTATTAGGAAAAAATGCTCCTTGCCCCGTGCTAGCCCGGTCAGGGGAACCCGGAGCCCGTATGTGCAATACCGGCAGGGGAACCCCTCTTTGCTTCCCTGCTGATAACTTGGGACGATGACGGCCTGCCTTTCTTACTGTAGGTTTATTTTTATTGCAACTTAAGAAGAGTGTATTTTAACCCCGTGGTGCAGCCGGGTCCCGAGGGGAGCTCCTCGGGGCGGCGTGGGGCGCGGGCACGCTCCTGCGGGTCCTGTTGCAGGAGACTGTCGGACAGGCAAAGTGTGTGGTGTGTGCTGCTCTGCTGGGAACCGGGGTGAATCGGGTGTGAGCAAAATACACATGGAAATAAAAATACCCTCCCTGCGAGAGCAGCTGGAGCGCCCGGGGTGAGTGTGGAGCCAGAGCAGTGAGGGGCAGCCTGGAAAATGAACAGCTCGGTGTGCCGGTATGTGCCCGATCCTCAGTTTTCGTGGATGTTTCCCGTGGGAGGTGAGTTTTCTCTTGCAAGCTCTTGGACAGGGATGTTGTGCCAACCCGAGCGAGCGCGGTGTCTTCCCGTGGCTGGCCGAGGGGCAGCACAGTTTGGGGTGTGGAATGGTGTTGTCTGGGACCTTCTGCCGTGCCAGCGGAGCAGGGGGCTGCTCGGGCGAACCTGCCGTGATTCATGGCGCATCATCCCGGGAGGAGGCGGCGGAGCTGAGTCAGCGGTGCCCGAGGATGCGCGTGGGAGAGGGATCGTGAGCGCGGGCGGCTCCAGCCCCTTTGTTTCTGCTGGCATCTTCCTTCCTTCCTCGCACCTACCCGCCTTCGCTGTGCTTGGCGTGCGATGATGGGGGGTAAAATTCAGCTCGACGTGCTGCCGAGTGTGCCAGACAGAGCCCGCAGCCCTTTTGTATGAGCTGAAGCTGGTTTTCGATGCCTGCGGGGAGCGGCAGGGCTGGCCCAAACCCGCTGGGTTTGCAGCCCCGTTTCTCGCACCGCGGAGGTGGTTTGCCTGGGTTTGGGTTTGCTGGGTGGGTGCCGTCCCCCTGCAGACGCCCTGATGAGCTGTTTTATTTTCAGGGTTTGTCGTTCAAAGGTGGTGAAAAGCCCAGAGCTGACTCGGGAGCCCGGGTGGAGCCTTCACTGCTGGGGGGGTCCTGAGCACACAGGGACTGTCTGCGCCGTCCACTGACGGGGCCGGTTTCGGAGCCCTCAGCTTGAGCATCTTAGGGAAGCTAATGAATGCGTTTAGCTTTGCACGTAACTAATTTCTCTCGCAGTGTGCAATGGCTCCTGGGGGAGCTGGGCTGAGCCAAGGCTCAGGATGGCAGCAAACACCGTCTGCCAGAGTCTCAGAGGTGTCAAGCTGCTGCGAGGAGAGCTGAAATGCGGCTGAAAGCTGAGTTTCTTCCCTAACTGTGATGAGGGCGGAGTGGCCCTTTCCCTGCTCTCCCTCCTTTCCTGCAGGCAGGTGCCCTGGTGGGATACAGAGATGGGACGGTGCAGGGCTCCGGGGTGGCTCAGCTCTCCTGGCTGTCCCCTGTCCCACCCGGCGTGCTCGGACGATGAGAGGAGGTTTGGAGACCTGTGGAGGCCGCAGAGCTGACTAACACCTAAAGCCCTGAACCGCCAAAAGGGAAACGCACCCAGCTCCTCTGTGTGTGAAACCTGGTTTTGCTTGGAGGCGGTGGCCAAGCCCCCTCCGCGGCGCTGCCCTTGCGCCCCGTCCTGGGGTCACTTGTGTAACTCGGGGATCCGGTTACTGCCCGCTGCCGTGCCCGGGCTCAGCTGCTGCCCCGGTGCCGGAGCCCCCTGCTCCGGTGAGAGCCAGCAGGTAGTGCAGGTTTCCCATCTGAAATAAGGAAGAGTTTCATCTCCGAGGAGCCGTCCCTTGGAAGAGGAACAGGAGATAACAGAGACAGAAGAGCTGAACTGAGAGGAGCTGTGGGCGTCGGGGCTTTCCAGCAGGTTGTCCCTCTGCTGCTGTGTCCCCTCTGCGAAGGGTTAACTCTGATTGCGCTCCACATTACTGCGGTTGCAAAATCTGCTCCTGAAGCTGCTGGAAGCTGGTGGAGGGGACAGTGTGACGTTGGTACCCTCAGCCGGGGTCCCGTGGGGGCAGATCGCCCTTGCTGAACCTCAGGGAAACACAACGTGCTCTTCCCGTCCCAGCCTCCTCATTGTAAGCCAAGAAATATAAATGTTGCTGCAGCCGTAGGCTGCCCTGGATGCTGGAGCTAAATCGGGGATCAGGGCAGCGTCACCACACACCCCCAAACGCCTTCGATGTGGAGTCCTGTGAGCGGAGCAATGCCTGTCACACCAGCAGTCACCCACCCCTGGTTTCACAGCTGAATGTGGCCGGGGAGCAGGAGGGAAAGTCGTGGGCTGCGGGAGCTGTTGGTTCCTGCCTGAAGAGGAGAAACTGGTGAGAAACTGGTGGAAACGCTGCCCTCGCCCCGCCTGGACCAGAGCAAACAGTGCTGCGGGCCCTGACCCTGCGCGGCGCATCCCCGGGGCGCAGGGAGCTGCTGCTTTGTGCCGAGGGCAGGAGGGAGGTTGTGTGGGGATGCCGGGGCTGTGGTTTGGGCATCGCCACGTCCCTCCTGCATCCCCCTGCAGCGGTCACGGCCCCCCCACGCTGCCTCGCTGCATCCAGCCTTCAGCTCCCCATCACACCTCTGGCACCTGCCACTGGGAACATTTCCTAAATAGACCAAATCGTTCTCTGAAGGAGGTTTAATCTGCTCTGCTCCCAGCCGGGCGAACAGCCTCTCGGTGGCCTCTCCGTCCCACGCTGGCAGGGAGCAGAGGGGGCTGCCTGGTGCTGCGGCTCCCTCACAGCCGGGCGTTTCAGAGCGCTGGGGCAGCTGTTTGCTCGCCTGCGGGAGCCCGAGCACAAAAGCAAACGTCAGGGCTGTGCTGGTACAGGTAATGGAGGCTGCTGCCTCCTGCTTCATTAGAAATACAATTAAGCTCCTTTAAAAGCGTTCTGAGTGACCTCTGAAAATTGGAGATACGTATTTCTGTACCTCTCCTATTTGTCTTGTGCAGAATGATGTTAACAGTCTGCTTCCTGCTGTTCTATTTTCCCAGCGTGTAATTACAAATTGTTTTTTGGTTTTTGTTGTTTTGTTTTTTTTTTTTTTTCTCTTCAGCTTCCTGGCTCCCCATGCCAAGCTCTTTGAGCAGAGCTGCAAATAACCAAGCTTTTCTCCAGGCCCCTTCCCTGCCCGCGTGGCTGCTGGGGGGGGGGCAGGTGCTTTTTTTGCTTATGGTTTTGGCAGGATCCAGTTTTTAGGGTAATTGAAGCAAGAGAGGAACAAGGAGAGGCTGTCCGACCCCCTGCCCTGTCTTCCTTTCACCCCAAGGCTGGGGCAAATGATGTTGAAGGGCTCTGCAAAGGCCTGGCTTGCCCACTTTGGTTTTCACTGAGCTGGTGTGACCAGACACCCAAATCTGGGGGTTCCGGGTGGGTGGCTGCAGCGTGCACCCTCTTTGTCCCTTTCCCCGTGGCAGGAACGTGAATCGCCGTTACTCTGCCAGGGCTCATGTGAGCGTTTCCTTTTTAAACAGGCTGTGTGTGTCTTTTGGGGCTGCAGCAAGCATTAACTCCCGTTCCTGTGAAACCCCCTCCGTGGCAGAGGGGTCCTGGCCACGGACTGGGCACCGCTTGGGGTCCTGCCAGGCCAGCGAAGCCCCCCCAGGGGCTGGCTGCTCTCCTTCGCCCCGGGAGCTCGGCTGGGTTTGGGCAGAGGGGCAAGAAATACCTTTCTGTGTCTGTCCTGGTAAAATGACCCAACCTGCTGCTTCTTGCCGATGCTCGCGGGGTGAGGATGCTGCTCCAAGGTGCAGACCTGCTCTGGAGCATTTTGCCCAGCCCGGCCCTAAGAGCTGCTGGAGACAGGAAGGAAAATGAACTATGCTCAAGATAGACACGTTTGTTGCTCTATATTTAGGAGTATAATAATTAAGGCTGGTTGTTTATCCTGACAAACATGGTAATTAATAGTCTGTGGCAGACGAGCAAATCCTTCCTGCACCTGGGAACTGTGAGTTGTCTCTGGGAAGGGCAGGGGCCTCGCTGAGAGCTGCTGCTCCTTATGAGAAAAGCTGCTATTTAGGGAACATCTGGCTGTTTGCTTTGTCCCCTCCCCAGGCTCATGTGGCTGGATGCTGGTGGCCTCTGGAGCTGTGGGGAGGGTGGTTCTGTGCCCAGCCCATGCCTACGGGCACAGAGCAGGGGGATGCTGCGGGTCCCACAGAGAAGGATATGGGGGTGGTGGGTGGGCAGCGCTGCTGGGGGGGCTGTGAAAAGGAGGGTGAGGATGCTCTGTGGCACCCAGGGGTGCAGCAGTGTAGGTACCAGCGTGCAGAAGCTTGCTCCTGAATGCAGTAGGAAGTTTTGCTGGCTGGTGGCACGGGCTGGCTGGGCACCAGGGAGGCGTCTCAGAGGGCAAGGAGGTGGCAAGCAGCCGGGATAAGCTTTTACCAGCCTTGGAGTGGAGGGCAAGAAGTTTGCGAGGGCAGGCGGCTTTTCTCTCTTCCCACTAGATGGGGATGGAGGCATTGCACAGCGTCCCCGGGCTGGCCTCGGTGCTGCCCGAGGAGAAGCACCCGCGCTCAGCCCGCACCCCTGTATCTTGTCCGGGTGGGTGCTCTGCCCGCGGGGTGTCGTGGCCCGGCTCCCCTGGGGACCTGCGGGCTGATGGGGTCTTGCTTCTCTCACAGATGCTGCAGGACTGCCCGAAGGCCCGCAGGGAGGTGGAGCTGCACTGGAGGGCATCGCAGTGCGCGCACATCGTCCGCATCATGGACGTCTACGAGAACCTCTACCAGGGGAGGAAGTGTCTGCTCATCGTCATGGAGTGGTGAGTCCCGGTGGCCTCTGCCCGCGGGAGCACCCGCAGCCCTGCGGGGCGCTGGGGTGATGCCAAAAGGGGGGTGAGCACCTTCCTGCAGCCCTGCCAGGGTGCTGGGGACCGCAGGGAGATGCTGTGCTGGGGGAAGCAGCCTGCGAGCCGTAGGGATGCGAGCCCTGGCAGAGGTGCTGCACCGCTGGCGTTGGAGGGACGGCAGGAGCTGCGCTGGCTCTGAGTCATTCTGAAAACTCGCTCGGCTGTCGGGAGGCTTCGGGCCTGTGGTTCTCGCTGCAGATCGGTCATAACCAAACTCGCTTTGGCCATTGAAAGTCGGGGTAGTCGGCGGGTTCCTGGCAGCCTGCAGTGGGTCTGCTGGGCAGCACACACCCAAAGCCCTGCCGCCACGTCTGGTAACGCCGCTGCACCTCCTGCAGCAGCAGTCGAGCGGCAATTCTTCGGGTAGATGCTTGATATAACCTGGGGAGGAGGAGGAATGAAGGGGAAAGTATTGAAACCACATCCCAACCGCAGCTGTGATTTGATGCAGCTTCCTTGCCAAAACCTCTCCTCTGGCAAGCCGGTAGGTTGCCGGGGGGGCAGCGGGGCGAGCAGCGCCGGGGCAGGCGGCACGGCACCGCCCGAGCCGCTCCTGCACGGGAAGAGGCTGCGGAGAACCGCGTCGGGACGCGGGGTGGCTGCGGATGGGAGAGGTTTGTGCGGCTCGTCTGCTTGTGTGGGCAGAGAGCCGTGGCTGAACGGTGGGATACGAGGCCCTGGGGCATCACCCTGCAGCGTGTCTCTGCGATGGGTCCCCGCAGTCCGAGGGATGCTCTGGGGGTAGCACCCATCCCAGGGCAGCGTCTCTTGTGCTCCGTGCAGCGCTTCGCCCCGGCCATCTGTACTGCAGATGTCGAGGGCTCTGGCAGGAGATCCCGTCTGCTCTAGGCAAGCCAGAAGCCTTTTCTGCTCGGGTTAGATAAGGCAGGGACAGGAAGGGCTGTTATCCCTGTTCTCAGAGAGAATTATCCCTGACCTCACCCCTGATCTCTCTGGGAGACAAGTTTTTCCTCAGAGTACCTGGGGAGGGAACTGCGCCGAGGTTTCCACGGTCCTTCTCCGACACCTCACGTGGGTTCAGCCTCCCCTGCCCCGGTGGTGAGCCCATCTCCGCGCCGCGGGCGCCTCACCCGTGCCGTGGCCTTTGCTCAGCGGTTCTGCGCGGGGTTGGGTGCCAGCGAGGTGGTTGGCTCGTGAGCCAAACGAGGTCAGGCGAGCCGGGAGCGCGCTCGCCGCCTTCGAGCCGTGTTTGCTGTATTTACTGTAAATGTGTTTCTGTGGGCTGGTGGGGAGACCACGTCCGCTTGCACCCGGCGTCTCCGCTGCCAGCACAAAGCCTCTGCCCTGCTCATTTCTGGAAGGAGGAGGCTCTGAAATGCCTCATGCCCAGAAGCACTGACCCAAAAGGGCTTGGATGGAGAAAGGGTTTTGTTTCTTGCTGAGCTTGTGCAGCTCCTGGCTGAGCATCAGAGGTTTCGGTACCGCTTGCGCCGACGTGAGACGGATGCTGCAGCATCTAACACCTCCTGCTTCTCTTCCAGCTTGGATGGCGGGGAGCTCTTCAGCCGAATTCAAGACCGGGGAGACCAGGCCTTCACAGAACGGGGTACGGAGCCTGTGGGGACCTGGGGTTTCATCTTTGGACCATTTCTTGCTGTTTGTTGGAGTGTTTCTGGTCCGGCTCATTCCCTCAATCGCTGTTTTGAATCCCCAACAGGGTTTTGCCCTCGGGGAATGAGGAATGTGGGTGCAAGTGGCCCTGCTTTTCACGCTCACTTGAGTGCAGGGTTATAGGGGATGTTTTCTCAGCTGCCCCTGCGTTTTGTTCCTCCTGCTCTAGCACAGGCAAGAGCCTCAGTGACCTGCAGAAACACCCACCCCCCTCCACGTAATGGAAACCAAGTCCTGGGGTTCTCACAGATCTCAGGAATCTCATCCCCTCTGCCCCTGTCTCCACCCAACCCAGACCCTGAGCCCCTTGCCCCTGCATCCTGCGAGAGGCAGCTTTCCCAGATGGATTCCTGGCAGATTTGGGGTCCCTAGCTGTGCTGGGGGGCTGGATCAGCCCCCCCACCCCAGAGCAAGTCCCTCCATGGGGTCTGTGCGGTTGGGTATTGGGACCAGTGGCTGGAGCCTGTCCCATCCCTCCCCCTGAGAGTTTCTCTCCTGTTTGCTGTGGGCTCCTGACCTGGGGATGGGCGCTGGGGCTGGGGGGCTCCTGCTTGGAAAGGGGGATTTTGGGTAGAGGAAACCCCTTTGTCCTCAGCCATGCTCTTTGGCTCCTGGTCAGTAGAGTGACCCAGGGAGTGGTGCTTATTTAACTGGCTTATAAAGTCTTCTGGCGATTTTTTTTTTTTTTCCTGCTTCAGAGGCTTCAGAGATAATGAAGAGCATCGGGGAAGCCATCCAGTACCTACACTCGATCAACATTGCACACCGGGACGTGAAGGTACCGTGCTGCACGCTCACCCGGCCCTGCTCGGCCCTGGCAGCGCCGAGGCCACTCCAGCTCCTCCGCTCACTCCTTCCCTGTGTTTTCACAGCCGGAAAACCTCTTGTACACCTCCAAAAGGCCCAATGCTGTGTTAAAACTCACAGACTTTGGCTTTGCTAAAGAAACCACCACGCACAACTCCTTGGCCACTCCGTGCTACACGCCGTACTACGTGGGTAAGTGGCTGGGGGGTGCAATCGTGTGGCCCATCACCTCGGCATCCAGCCCGGAGCTGCAGCGTGGTGGGGGGTGCTGCCTTGGGTGCAGGTGGGTGCCGTGTTTGCAGCTCCCTGGTGCGTGCAGGACTCTGAGCGCGTTGCATCCCATGATGTTGTGCTCGGGGCTGCGAGGTGACACCACCCTGCACTGCTCTTGCCTCTTGCTCAGAGCTGGGCTGCTGAGCCCACACGGGGCTCCGGCAGCTCCGTGGGATGGCCCCATCCCTCTCTCCTGGAGTTGATGCTTGGCCTCAAGGGTTTTGTTTCTCTCTTTACCAGCCCCGGAGGTGCTGGGCCCAGAGAAGTATGACAAGTCCTGTGACATGTGGTCCCTCGGCGTCATCATGTACATTCTGTAAGTGCGACGGGTCCCTCTCAGAGGGGGGATGCAGCTTTGGAGCTCGTGTGGGGGCTCTTGGGGCTGAGCCTTTCCCAGCACTGCCCCGTGCCCCGCGGGTGCTCCTGGGGAGGCTTTTGGGGTGACACGTTGACTCTGCTCCCTCTCCCGGAGCAGGCTGTGCGGGTACCCCCCCTTCTACTCCAACCACGGCCTGGCCATCTCGCCCGGCATGAAGAAGCGGATCCGAATGGGCCAGTACGAGTTTCCCAACCCTGAATGGTCCGAAGTGTCGGAGGAAGGTGAGCGCAGTCCCTGTGATGGCTTGTCCCCAGGCTGGGGTGTCCCTTTGGGATCAGCCCGGCCCCCGGCAGCGCTGGGGGAAGCCTGGGCACGTCCTGGGTCACCTCAGGGTGATGCAGCAGCTTCGCCTTTTTGCTCGAGAGGCTTTTGCTGAAGGGTTTGGCCAGGGTGAGGTCTGTGGCCCAGAGGGGACGGGAGGTGCGTGCAGGCGTTTTGGGGCTGCTGGGTCAGGTTGGAGGGCAGGGAGAGCCCCCCCAGGACCTGCTAACGCCCAGCACAAACCCTTCCAGTGAAGCAGCTGATCCGCAACCTGCTGAAGACGGACCCGACCCAACGGATGACGATAACGGAGTTCATGAATCACCCCTGGATCATGGTGAGTGAGGGGGTGATGAGGCAGCAAGATGAATGGGGATGAGGATGGGGTGGGGACGGGGATGATGATGAGGCTGGGGCAGGGATGGGATGTGGATGGATGGGGATGAGGATGAGGCTGGGGCAGGGATGGGATGAGGATGGATGGGGATGAGGATGAGGATGAGGATGAGGATGAGGATGAGGCTGGAGCAGGGATGGGATGACGTACCTGCAGCTCCCAGCTCACGCTCCTCTGCTCTTGGCAGCAATCCATGCAGGTGCCCCAGACCCCGCTGCACACCAGCCGCGTGCTGAAGGAGGAGAAGGATCTGTGGGAGGATGTGAAGGTAAAACCTCTCTCCGTTGCCGTCCAAAACGCTCCGTGCCCCGGGTGCCATCCGGGGACCGTCCTTCTCCCTGCAAACCACCCTAATTTGGGCTCGGTGCCAGTGTGCTGGCTCCCGGGGAGATCTGTGCTCGGGAGGGGGCTGGAAAAACTGGCGGTGGGGGTCACAGCTCCTGCTGCGATTTGTTCCCACGGGGGCTCGGAGCCGGGGAGCAGCCGCCCCGGGGGTGCCGGGGGGCTGCGCTGACGGCGCTGCCTGTGCCTCCTGCCCGCAGGAGGAGATGACGAGCGCGCTGGCCACCATGCGCGTGGACTACGAACAAATCAAGATCAAGAAAATCGAAGATTCCTCAAACCCTTTGCTCATGAAGAGGCGGAAGAAAGCCAACCCCACCGAGCCTGCCGCGCTCCCCCACTGAGGGTGCCCTGCGCCCGCCGGCCCTTGAGAAAGCAATAACTATATATATATATTTTTTAAGAAAAAAGACAAAAAGAGACAGACTGTTATATCAAGCGCATGGAATTCAGACATTTATACCAGACTAGTTATTTTTAGCTACTCACCTGTGTTTCTGACCTTTCCGGAGCAGGCGGTAAGATCCCCCTGTCAGATCCACACGCGCTGTGGCCGGGGGTTTTGTCCTGTAGGTGAACACCTCCAATAATTGGATTATTTTTTCTTTCGTGAAACAGTTTTGATTTTTATGTATGTTTTTTTTTGTTGTTTTTTTTTTCTCCTTCCTTCCAAAGACATGGAAATTCCTGTGGTGACCTTTTTAGGGTATATAACGTATAAATATTTTTTAAAAACTACTGTAGAGCTGAAACCCAGGCAGCGTGTTCCCTGCGTGGATGCTGGCTAGGGATGGGCTTCGGGCTTGGGAGTGAGTCGGGGGGG